TGAATACTCGATATCTATTTAGAAAGTACATATAAATTATAATAGGTATAATTTATGATTCATAGAACATTAATTCACGATTTAAGTACACTAAAGTACATTGTTTTACAAGAATAAAGGTTTGATTCCAAACTAATCAAAGATATACATCTTTCAGATACATGTTAAGAAATACTAATTCAGGAACATACAGTCTGTCATTTATTTCAGAACGATTGGGTTTTTCTTAACTATTATACATGTAACGTTTATATGTTTTTTATGAGTCAAGTGGTACAAGCTGTTTAATTCATTTAAACAATATAGTAAAGTCCTGACATTATAAGCAGAATCTCCAGCCAGGGATCGAAAAAATGTGTGTATAGAGCTATATTGGGATCGACAACCCCGCACTCGGACTGCTAGCTACAGTCAGGCATACACGCCTGTGAGTGACAAATTGTTATCAATAGTTTTCAGCGCATTCATAGCGTTGGGTCAGGCCATCTAGTCAGTATGGTTATAATAACTCATATAAAAGATATTAACAATACGTTAGTGTATAATTAACAAAACCTAAGTACATTTTCAAAGTACTAGTTTACAAGATACAGTTTATAGTATTATGTTACAGTTTACAATAACAGTTGATGAAATCAGATACACTCTCAGATACAAGTTTACAAAGGTTTCACAAATACAGAACATTGGTTTACAAATAGAACAGTTTTATGTAACGAAAACTACTTTTTATATACAGCAGAAAATATAGGATTTTCTAGAACAGTTTACGTATTCAAGAAAACAGAAAACATTCTTTCAAACATAAATACTTATGCAGTCACTCAACTTTATGTTGATGCTCTCTTTTCAAATTACTTGTATTCTTAGGGAACCAGTAGACAGGTACTCCCCAAGCTTTTGAGAAGATGGAGCTATTTATGTCTTGTCTTCTTCTTTTGTATAACTATTTGGTTTTAGTATATTATGATGAAACACATGTAAATACTTATACTTTTTAAATACAATGGTTGTTTGTATGCTGATTAATATAATGCATGTGTTGTGATACTAAAAATGAAGTCCTCCACCCCCGGACGTTTCCGCCGTCTGGTTTCGGGGTGTGACAGATTGGTATCAGAGCATTGTTTATAGTGAACTCAGTATATCAATCCATAAAAGATATACAAACTATAAATACATTTTGGGGCTGAGAGCTCTGACTACAAGTATACTTTTCGAAAATTTAAGTATTTTTACAAGAAGTATACTAACACTCATACCTACAAGTACAGTATCACAGTCATAAGAACTTAAAAGTATTTGGATGTTGGACATTACAGTCAAACCTGGGCAGTTATGTAATCATATTTGGGATTAATATAGCCTGATAAACTATATTGATTTGAGATATGACCAACATGTGTTTGGGAGTGATAGTGATGTTGCGACATGTCTAAAACTTACCAACTATACATATTCAGAAGAACTCTAGAACAGAAGATAAAGATTAAAATACTATAGGGGTATTTTAGGCACCATATACTAATAACAAACATGTGAAAACAATAGAACAATTAAGCGTAGAACTATAAATATTAAGGGTATATCACAGTTATATATAATTAAAGTTACATAGACTTAGAATAATTAATCTTGCTTCATTTCCTGTTCCTTGTTTGGTTGTGGATTTAGAGTCGGGTCAATTATTCAAAGGTCGAATATACCTAAGTTATATATAATTAGTATGCACTTTATAGTTATAGTACTACCTAGAACAAGTCATACAGAATACATTACTTGTTAACTGTAGGTCTCTCTCGTAGAAACTTGTATCCTTAATCTATCGTTACTAACTATATTCTATATCTCTTATCCCTATTCTCACTTAGATAACAATGGCTGGATTTCACTTACCCGGAGACCCGTACTTCCCCGGTCAAGCACTACTAGAAAAACAGGCTTTTACGACGCGCAATGCATGTCGTAAAACGCTCAGACGACGCACAAATGCGTGTCAAGGAAGGCCCTGTCATAACGAGAGACGACACGCTTTTACGCGTCGTCTATTTATGACGCGCAATTACGACGCACGTTTACGACACACATTGCGTATCAAAGAAGGCCCTGTCATAAAGGAAGATGACACGCATTTGCGTGTCGTAACCTTACAACGCGCATTTACGACTCGCATTGCCTATCATTAAAGCCCCTGTCAAGAAAGGCCATGTCATAAATGAAGATGACACACATTTTTGCATATCATAATTTTAAATGTTTCAAAAATATATTATTTATAGATTTACTAATTTTCAAATTAAATTTGTATTTAATGTCTCATAATAGAAAATAAAATTTCATATACAAAGAATACAATCCATTGCATAAAATTTAATGTCATACAAATAATCGTTCCATGGAAAGATAAAACAAATCAATAGAAGTTGTAACAAAAATTTACAAACTAATTAGATACAAAAAAGTATAAAAAAAATATACCCTCAAATGTTTTTCAAAGTCTAATCTCCATGTCAGCTCTTCAAATCACTTCTCCAGTTTGTCCTTAGGTTCTCTAAGAGCTCCAGCATCTCTTGCAGCCTGTGACAACATATATTATAATTTTTTAATTACTATTTATTCTTATAATTCAAAGCATTTAGATAAAATTGTATTATATAATTCTTAGATTTTTTACAGAAAATTCACTCACCAGCTTCAACATTCTTAATTCTTTCCCAAGTGACACCTTTTTCTTGTCTGTTAATTCCCATGTGCTTGTGTTGAGTAAAAAGTTCAAAAGATGTCCATCCCCAAGTGCACACAACAAGTAAGGTATCTGTAATTAAACATTAAACACTTTTTACAAATTTGCCCTCATAGACGAAGATAAAGATGAAGATGAGATGAGAATCATACCCCTTCAAAGGCACAAAGAATAACAGAACGTGGTATTATTTCGCCACCTAGATGTTCTTTAGTGATGAGATTTAAATCGGGTAGTGAAAATATCTTAACACTAATATCAGTCCACATCCCAACTACAGCAAGATTACTATAATTTGGATTTTCACCAATGGGGTTTATGTCAAGACATGAGATATCATATTTCAGTTCTCCGTGCTTTTTTTCTACTAAAACACCATCACCAGTTTCAAGGTAAACCAGATGGCCACCTCTAGTAGCCAGTAGGACTTGTTATGGAAATTAAAAAGGTTAGTCAAACTTATGTATTAAAAGACCAAAATACCTTTGGTTATACATGAGTAGCGTAAGCAGTGGCAACATTTATAGAGAAAAAACCTGAAAGAATGAAAATTTAATTAAATGGGGTATAAATATAATAGCAAAATATTTAGATAATTATACCTGAACAAGTTGACATACCTTTCTAGAACTTCCACATATGAGCCTTTTGTATCAGGTTGGAGATTCAACTTAATAAGCTACAATATGTAAAAAAAAATTAAATTACATTAGCATTTGACATTATTGATGTTGATATGATACTTTTAGGCGATGAAAGTTTTTACATACATGGGAATCTCCATAACTTGAGCCAACATGCACAAATGCATTATCAAGATATGATATAGTTGATGCTATAGAAGTTTCCCCTAGAAGCTCAATTTTAAGTTCAGTAACTCTAAAACAATGAAGAGAAAGTATCTTTTCGAACATTTGGGAAGACTATTTAATGGTATATATGACAAAAAATAGAATTATAATTCACTTTTCTTTCTCGTGGGAAATGACAAGGAAGTGAAGAAGGCCACTATGGACTAGTAATAGACTGCAAGTTTATGACACAATACATTAGTTAAAAATGAAAATATGTTGCCATCTCAAAGATGTTCAGATATGGTATATTTATTAAACCGATGACTAAAGCTACTCTCCCCCTGATATGTCTAAAAATGCTTCATCTCAAAGAGAATGAAGGGATCTTTCAAGGGTATTTTGGTCTATTAATAAAAAAATGTTGAATCAATGTGAAAATAAATATACGAGATCTGAACGTCTTTCAGTATGTCTAAGAAACTCACGACCTAAACCAAAGCCACTGTGAGCCCCTTCTGGTTGACTATCAAGTTGTACCCTAACATTTGAACATGCCTCATCCACAAGGTTTATATCCTTATCAGATAGGAAACAAGATGAATCTTGTTCAGCTTCTTGAGCCCTTCAACATCCATGTATCCAAGCCCAATCTTTTGAGCCTATTATAAGTATTCAAGAAGATGTTAGATTCAATTTTATAGAGATGAATCTTTTGGTGAGTTTTAGTATTGTTTTATGATAATGAGAAAGCTTATTACCTCTTCAACATGTTGGACATCTCCAAGCATGCAAACTTTCAATTTAGGCAACAAGGGTAGATATGGGACTCTTACCAACTTACTCTTGTACAAAACCTAACATTAAAGAACAGAAAATAAAGATGATATAACAATTTTAAAAGATCAAAAGTTAAAACACTATGAAAAGAGAGAACTTAAAATTTCCTGCATCTTGTTTCTATAAAACTCGATCTTTTGTCTAGCTTCAAGTATCTATTTTTCAAGTTCACCAACCATTTTATCTGCCTCTGTTGCCTCCTGTAACTTTGAATTCAATGAACTTTGTTCCTCATTGTTAAAGGCAATGGTATGATTGTTCCTCATTGCTAAAGGCAATGGTATGATTGATCATCCCATTTGCTTAGAGGGTGACGAATCCGATTTTGAAGGTTATTACCATTTAGCTATCAATTACTACAGATAGTAGTACAGTGTTGGTATGATGGAATCAATCGCAGAAGGAATGGCTATTTAGTTAATTTGAACCATTCCTTATTAAGAATTTCGAGATTTCAATTAAATTATATATATATATATATATATATATATATATATATATTATGTGGGCCAACAATAGTAATAATCTATATATATATATCAGATGTTAAGTTTTGTGTGATACTATTAGAATACTAGGAAAGTAGATTCCTTGTAAAATACTAGTAGTTAGATAATGATTAATGATTAATCCCCACCTATGATTGCACCATAGTGCATGTTTGCATAGTGCTCCTCGTCGGTCAGGATCTCCCATAACACAATTCCAAACGAGAACACATTAACCTGTTTGTTAATTGTTAATTGTTAATTGGTATGTTACCAAAAACACAAAATAAAAGAAAACAATATATATACGGTGATAGAATCAAACAAGGGAAGGGAAGGTATTACCTTGTCAGATACTTTATTGCTGCTACCATTTAGTAGCTCAGGAGCCATCCATGGCAGGGTGCCCCTAACTCCACCTGAAACCAAAGTGTTGCGCTTTATCTTTGATAGTCCAAAATCACCTACCTTCAGCATTAATAATAAGAAATAATAAGAAAACTAAAAACTTGTAAGTTGTGATAGATAGATAGATATATACCTTGCATATAGGGCGTGAAGGGTCTTGCATATTGACAAGCAAGTTGTCATATTTGAGATCAAAATGCACAATATTATTGGAATGTAAATACTCCATCACAAAGGCTGCATCCATTGCAATTATAAGCTTCTTGCGATGGTCCAGATGCCTAGACAAAAAAAATATATGAAATGGTAGATTGATTGATTGAGTTGAAGGAGGTATAGAATATGAGATTACCTATCTTTGCGAAGTAAGACACGCCTTACGGTACCATCAACCATGAACTCTGTGACTGTAGCTAATGTCCCCCCTGGACCATCTTCTACTATACCATAAAATGCCACAACATTTGGATGGTGAAGCTTTGACAGAATCTCAGCTTCTCGCCAGAACTCTATTATTGTCTATAATAATAAATAATAAATAATAAGAGTTTACTTGTTGGTGATTTTGATTAGTAAATAAATACTAAATAGAGTGAGTGAGTGAGTGAGTGAGTACCAATCTCTCCTGTTTAGATGATGGACCTGCTGCAAAGCAACCCTTGTTTATCCGTTTGATGGCCACATCTGTTCCCCTCCATTTTCCATGGTAAACTGTCCTAAATGTTCCAGAACCAACTTCCTTTAATTCTTCAACATCTTCATTCCTTATCATCTGTTCCAACATCCATCCATTCCATATTCACTTAATATATATAACAACTGACTGCTATTATCATAACCTTCCTTAAAACCCCAACTATTTTTATTTTTATAACTCATGCCACTTGATTCAATATCGACCTAAATTTTGCATTTTCATTCTAATTGTCTATGTAGGAAGGAATTCAGGAATCGGATCACCTTTTAATTTTATTATAGACTTTGGTTCAGATTGTGAAATTCTTATTTTTATTTACCAATATGTTAGCATCCATCAATCAATGTGTAATAGAAAAAAAAAATAGAAAATAGAATACTAACCAAGAAAGGAAAAGAGCATCAGAAGGAGGTGAAATCTTATGTGTTTGTGTCATGTTATTGTTCTCCATGTGTTCAGATTTATCTTTTGAAATCAATGGTGGTGATTTGTTGGAAGATTTAGCATTTGACTTCAAGTTGGCATTTTCAATTTTCTTGTTGGAAGGAGCATCAGAAGTGGATGGTTTCTCCAAGTTGGATACAACTATTTAATTTTAAAAAGAATACACATGTTAGATTTCAACGAGAAAGTGATGAATATTTTTTTATGCATAGCAAAAATCATATACATAAAAAGCAAAAAAAATTTAGGGATATTACTTATGATATAACTACTTATGCGTTATACATCTACATGTTAATATAAATCACGTGTTTATGTAGGAATGTCTTTAGTTGGAAAGAACAACTTCTTCCAGAATCAATCCAATTATTCTCTATCTTTGCTCTTGACAAAAAAAGGAATAAAGAAAGGAGACTAGAAAAGTGTCCTTCAGTCACGTATTTTTAGCTAGGGGTAGTTTGGGAAATCATCAAATAAAGAGAATCAGGTGCATTAGGGGCATTTTAGTCATTTTATATCAGGCAGAATCAGGGGCAGTATAAACCTGAGAAGTGGATGCTACTTTGTTTACTTGTAGTTATCACAATTATAATGTAGAAAGAAAAAGGAAGTAAAGTAAGATACTTTGATGATTTCCCAAATGCCCCTGATTCTCTTTACTTGATGATTTCCCAAGTATGATTAAACAGGGGCATTAGGGGCATTTTAGGCATGAGAGAGAGCTTGATGATTTCCCAAATGCCCCTGATTCTCTTTACTTGATGATTTTCCAAATACCCCTGATTCTCTTTACTGTGAACATATAATTTGATAACTTATAGTTCAAAACAAACCAATTAGCATAAAGAGAGAGCTTACCGGTGGAGTACTTACATTCAACATAGAACAAAGATTTCAAGCAAATAGATATAAAAAAAGATTCAAATCATATCCCAACATCAGATTTCAGCATGCGATTTTAGCAAATATATTTCAGCAAGTATGTTTGTTTCAACAGTTTCATTAGCAAACATTTCAGCACAAAAAATCAAAGGCAGCAAAAAGAATTCAACTAGTATGTTTATCTCAAGATGAAAATTCCAGCAGAGCACCATAAGATCGACCATCATAAAAACGATTCAAACAGACAAGAATCCATTTCAGCATTATGAACACCGAAAAAAAACAGATGGGCATTAGGGCAATAACCCTACCGGAGTGGCGGAGGTAAGGCGCTAGCGACGACGGAAAGAGGCTGAGACGCCGACAATATGGTCATTTGGAGGAAGGAAGGTTGTCGTTTATGTGATGGAGGCGAGAATGAAGAGGGAAACAAAAAAATAAGATAGAACATAAGACCTTCACACAGGAGATGAGAGAAAGCAAAACCAAAAACCAATTACCTTTTGAACATCATTTAGGGATTCGTATACCGAGTCCGACCTATGTTTCAGCAGGTTGAGTCGTCTTCTTCTTTGTAAGATCGAAAAATGTTAGATGAGATGAAGGTGGGATTAGAAGCGAATCTAAGGGATTGAACCCACCCATCACTTCCATTTTCCTTCCCCTAAACCACCATCGCTCGTAAGCGGAGATCCCAAGGCGAGGAATCCCCGACGCCCCGTGAAAGCAAGAGCAATTCTCCTATGAAGCAAGAGCAATTCTCCTATGAAGACGAAGGCCCTAGGGCTTTTTCTGGCTAATTGGAAGAGGCGGGGTGTTTTAATTTTTGGGTTCCAATAGGGTGGGTGAAATCCCGCGTTAAAACGCGTGTTTCATTAAAAATAATATAAAGTGACACACTTAGATCACACACATTTTATGAAAGGCGCCCTCCGCATTTCTTTTTTTCTTTTCTGACACTAATTTTAGGGCACGCACAAATGCGTGTCCTCTATCCTTCAAAATTTGCAAAACTAACATTATTTTTTAGGGCGCACACAAATGCGTGTCTTCTATCAGCGAGTGTCATTGTTTGCATGTCATTAAAGGGCTCTTTTCTAGTAGTGAAGGACAAGATGTAGAGCCAGAAGAAAATCACGAAATTCCCTTAGATGATGATTTTGTAGAAAATTTTCCTGAAGACAATGATTCTGAATTAGAAGCCTATATCCACCAACGATATATACATAGGATGTACTCTTACCTTGAATAACTTTTCATTCCCAATAGACCTTATGCCGGTCTCTATCAAAAGTTTCGACGTCATAATAGGTATGGATTGGTTGTGTCCTAACCATGCTGACATCCTATGCTATGAAACAGTCATTCGTCTGAACTTGCCAACTAACGAAACTCTTGTTATTTACGGCGACAAACCCGGAACGAACCTCCAGATCATTTCTTGCATCAAGGCAGAAAAATACCTTCGCAAAGAGTACTGTGCTTTCTTAGCTCACGTGGTAGACAAAAAGCAAGAAGTGAAAGATATCACGAGCATTCCTGAGGTCTACAACTTTCCCGACATTTTTCCCGATGATCTTCCAGGAGTGCCTCCCGAACGAAAAGTTGAGTTTAGAATCGACTTAATCTATGGGGCTACCCCTGTTGCCAAATCCCCCTATCGTCTTGCTCCCTCTGAAGTGCAAGAATTATCCAGCCAGCTTAATGAACTCCTTAGCAAATGTTTCATAAGACCAAGCTTCTCACCCTGGGGAGTACCGGTCTTGTTCGTGAAGAAGAAGGATGGATCATTCCCTATGTGCATAGATTACCGCGAGCTGAATAAACTTACCATTAAGAATCGATACCCTATGCCTCGCATTGACGATATGTTCGACCAACTTCAAGGTGAGAGCTACTTCTCAAAAATAGACTTAAGATCCGGGTATCACCAGCTACGAATTTTGGAGGATGACATTCCCAAAACCGCGTTCAGAACTCATTATGGTCATTACGAGTTCGTAGTGATGCCATTCGGATTGACGAATGCACCTACTGTGTTCATGGATCTAATGAACAGAGTGTGTCGTCCATTCCTGGACAAAATCGTCATAGTCTTCATTGACGACATCCTTATCTATTCAAGAAGTGAAGAGGAACATGGCCAACATCTTCGTCAAGTATTAAAAACTCTTAGATCAGAGAAACTCTATGCGAAGTTTTCAAAGTGTGAATATTGGATCAGGAAGGTTGATTTCATAGGTCATGTGGTCAGTTCAGAAGGAATACACGTCGACCCTTCTAAAATAAAGGCAATTGAAAACTGGTCAGCAGCCAAAACACCTACAGAAATCCGTCAATTCTTAGGTCTTGCTGGCTATTATCGCAGATTCATCCAAAATTTCCCTCGAATAGCTAAGCCTCTTACCACCCTGACGCAAAGGGTGTAACTTTTAGCTGGGGAGAAAAGCAAGAAACAACATTCCAATCGCTGAAACGAGCTTTCTGTAGTGCACCAATCCTATCTCTTCCTGAAGGGACATAGGATTTCGTAGTGTACTGTGATGCTTCTAATCAAGGGCTTGGATGTGTTCTTATGCAAAGAGGAAAGGTTATATCCTATGCCTCAATACAGCTAAAGACACATGAAGTCAACTATACAACACATGACCTTGAACTAGTAGCAGTGGTATTTTCTCTGCAGACCTGGAGACATTACTTATATGGCACGAAATGCACAGTATTGACGGACCATAAATGTCTCCAGCATATCTTCAATCAGAAAGAGCTGAAGATGAGAAAACGACGATGGGTGGAGCTACTGAACGACTACGATTGTGAGATTCTTTATCACCCTGGTAAAGCTAACGTAGTAGCTGACGCCCTTGGCAGAAAAGAATACTCGGGACGCCGAGTAAAGTCGTTGACCATGACAATCTATTCACATCTGTCCACACAGATCATAGGGGCTCAACTCGAGGCCTTAAAACCTGAAAATGTGGCAGGTGAAACTTTGAGAGGAATGGATAAAAACTTCAAAGTCAAGTATGATGGAGTCTATTGTTTCATGAACCGGATCTGGACACCAAAGTTCGGTGGTTACAAAGACGTGATGATGAATGCAGAACACAAAACTCGATACTCCATTCATCCAGGTTCAGACAAGATGTATCTGGACCTCAAGAAACTATACTGGTGGCCTTACATGAAGGCTGAAATGGCTACCTTTGTGGGCAAGTGCCGTACTTGTGCCAAAGTCAAGGTAGAATACCAGAAACCTTCAGGTTTATTACAACAACCTGAAATCCCTGAATGGAAGTGGGAGCGGATTACAATGGATTTCATAACTAAGTTACCTAAGACATCGGGTGGTTATGATACTATTTGGGTAATCGTCGATAGATTAACCAAATCCGCACACTTCTTACCAATCAAAGAGACTGACAAGATGGAGAAGCTAACAAGAACTTACCTCAAGGAAATCGTTAGACTGCATGGTGTGCCAATATCTATTATTTCTGACCGAGATAGTAAATTCACTTCTCGTTTCTGGCAGTCTCTACAAAAATCTTTGGGAACTAGGCTGGACATGAGTATAGCCTACCATCCATAAACTGATGGACAAAGTGAGAGGACGATTCAAACTCTAGAAGATATGTTGCGGGATTGCGTGATAGACTTTGGAAAGGCATGGGATACTCATCTACCCCTTATCGAATTCTCTTACAACAATAGTTATCACACTAGAATAAAGGGTGCTACTTTCGAAGCTCTCCATGACC